ATACCTATTTTACAAGTCCTCATATTGTCTTCCAAAAACTATATCATGTTCCGCTATGATATTTTTTTTACAAAATAAAAACTATCTGGACCTCATATTGACAATATTTTGAATTATTTCAAAGAACTATTACGTAATAATATATGTAACGCAACTAGACAATAAACACCAACATTGACACGTCATGTCCTTGATATGAAATATTCCACTTTACTTATTCTACTTGTTTATTCCATAAGATTTTTCAGAAATGTAGGCTAGTATACCGTCGTGTATGGAGTGAACGAGGGGCAGATGTTTATGCTGAATCCTATTTTGTAATACCTCTTGTTTAGATTAGCATAATCAAAATGGCAAGTTCAAGTACAGCCCTAAACTTATACAATAGCGGAATGTCATCCATATCCAACAAATAAAATGAGATGAGGTATTATTTGCATGCATTTCAAAAACTGCCCTTTCTTAACTCTTGCCAATTTGAGTTAAGGATTTGTATCTTGAACTTTGCTTTAGAAAATCTTTTCCGTGTATGCACTTTTATGAGAAGACCGAGCAGATGAAGTCTATTTAAGGTACATATCTAAATAAATATGTAATAAAATGCAGTCTTCATGAATAAATGCTCATGGCTGCAGTCTACTTACATATCTGGTATCATGTAACTCTTCTCAATCCCGTATTTATTAAACACGTACATATTTTTTATATTTTCATTAATTCCGTCTGTTCGTGTAGACATCTCTTACTTAACGTGGTCGATAAAGCCTAAGGTGTGGAAGGTTAGGGTTGCGTGATCAATATCTATTCATTCATGTGTTAATAATAATACGGGACCGTATATGTGCAGAATTTGTCCAGTTGGGCAATATTCTTGTAATGTGCATACATATTCTCTTGCACATAATTTGGTTTGCCACTCAGTCCCATTTTCCTTCGTCATTTGTCACTCTGTTTAAGGATTGAGTTTCTTAGCAGATAAAAGCATTAAATGGGCTAAATAGTCACAGTTAAATGCGACGTATTAAAGTTTTTAAAAATTGCCTGGAAGCAATTTTCCAAATTCCATCACCTTGAAAAATGGATCCAATTTTGAATCCCAAGGTTTCAAAAGTTACACAAAACTCATGCATAAAATATGAGAGCTTGCTTCATGAAAAGTCCATGTAATAACTCATGAAACATCAAGCATTATTAGTTTAACCGGATCAATTGCACTCTTCGCAACATGCTAATTGGAATCATGCAACACAAACATTCACATGTTCCTAAACGGCGATGAATTGACAATAAGTTCAAGTTCATAATCCATCCAGCTATTTATTAAAAATACAGTTGACGCGAATAAGCAAATTTGATGAATGAAATGTGCTTAGTTCATTTCATGGGATGTGCTTATTCTTACTTAATGAAAAGATGTTATCAGGTCGTGGCTAGCATCACTGTGTTGTTTGCGTGGAACATGTACCATTTCAGGTTTAAATAACGTAGCTACTATCTTTTTTATGACATTCGCAAACCAAATCATGTGCAAAAACAGGAAACAATGCAGTCGTCAATTGTTGCGTATATGCATAAGTATTCCAATGATATATTTACATTGTTTCATCAAAACTCGTGCAATAAATATGATTGGGCTTATACTCACTTAATCAAGTTTAGTCGACATTAGCATGAAATGAGACTGGTGATATAATAAAAACCAAGAAAAGTAATAAATAAGTTTTCTAAAGGTGGATGTCCAACAAATCAAACCATGGATGAAAACCGGTGTACGAGTATCTATGTACTTTTGAATGCGTGGGTCTCACGAAGCAAAAAATGACGTTGTTGTTGTCTTTAATTTGCACTTGCTAGTGCATCGAGCAAGTTCACTTTTTTCACTATTAAGGATATGATGGATTGCTTTCTGTATCGAGTGTACGACAAGAGGAGGGATTTATTTCTTGTCGCATGACATATGTAGCAGTCGTGGAGTGGTTGCAGTACATTTCTAAGCTCACACACACGCCTGTTTTCCGGACAAAGAACTTGGAAGGAACAAAGTTGCTGGGCAAAGTTTTAAAGTTGATCGGGCGATAGGGATAATTGTGAATTGTATTAAACTCCATACATAATTCGCACGCATAAAAAATGCCACATGCCGCACTAAATCGGAGGCAAAAACCCTGTAAACGTTAACCGTAAGAACCTGTCGAGGAAGTTTGTACAGTCTGTGAAACGTTCAAAACAAATAAATGATCTCAGCTCTAGAATTTTTATAGCACTTGACTCATTATTGCAGACAGGCCAGTTGAGATTCGCAAGATTCAATACCGAATAATCAGTCTGAGAAATAGTTTATGCAAAAAAACTTGATTGTACTTGTTAAAAACAACTCTACCGGTGATTCCCACATATATAAAAAAAATTACAGTACTTGTTCCTCGCATTCGTTTATGTGTTTATTTGGAGATTTTATAATATCATTTCTTTTATCGTTTGATGATGATTGTTGTAAATCATCTGACTTTTTTTGAAATCGTTAAGGGGACCTGCGTGCATTATGCGATCGATTTTCAGCCAATTTTAACCCCAGCCAGCCCTGCTTGGGGTGACCGGTTGGACAAATACGACCACACCCTTGACTTTATGCCTCCCTTAAACTGATGACATGCTTTATGCGAGTTCCCTATGTCGAAGGTGAAAGTGTATGTAGCGACCCCGTTTTCAGGATGGCTGAGCATGTAATTCATTCGCATTGAACAAAGTAACTGACAGGTTACGTTTGACGCCATAAAACCAGAAAAATCTTGATACTTGTTATAACCATCACTTGTTTTGAAAACTCAATTATTCTCAGGTGACCTCCGCAGTATTGTCTAAGGAGGTACAGAGTACGAGTAATAACCGGCTTGTAAGAAGTGAGTTCATGTAGTCCAACCTCTTCTACTTCCATATCACACATTTTTTTACAAACCCGAGACGCTGTAAAAAGCGGGTTTCACGTCTCATCAAGATTATTAAGGAAATCCACCGTAATTCTGCTGTTTCAACTTTGCATAAGAATAATATGGAATTGTGGAGTACCTTTGCAATTTAACTGGACTGGACGTCTTTTGTTTAATGAGCAAATATTGGTCCAGTCATGTATAGCTAAATCTTGATCCCATTTATGCACACTCGCATCCTAATAAGGCACAAAAGTTGCAGAGTTTTTAAGCTGATACACACTTGTGGAACTTGGAATCAGAATAAAATTGGTGTGGGTTGACCGAATTCAGATGAGAAATGTGGACGAGATAATATTTTGGCCACTCCTCCAACGGCTCGGAACGAGCAAATAACCATTTTTCACGGAATTGAAATTGATCCACTGCTTGGGCTTAACATGACTGAGTATACGATCAAAATGACACACGTTATCAGTACTACATATGTACTAGTCCAGAGCCTATCAAATCGGTCTAATTTCTCGTAATTCGATGCACCTCCATTACATGCATAACATATATGTCTCCAATACTGCTTTTAGAGGTTCCCATTACCGAGGTTGAATCGGTAACACGTGAACGTTTTTGACCTTAAATTACTGGTTGAACGGCTTGGAGTGGAGGTCCCGAACATTTTTTATGTGAAAGCCCTTTTCTCGAGCTACAAGTCGGTATCGGCGATTTCAACTTTTGTACACTGATTTGATCATGGCGAGGTCAAGTTTAGACCACTCGTCTCTCAAAACTTTCCAAACTCCGTCAAAAGTTTTTGGGTAGCGGAGAAAAGATTTTATTTCAGATATCCAAAGCCGAAAAAATTCTTGGGACTTACATAGAGTGACTTAATAGGTATTTCACTATTTTGGATGATTGTTATCCCGAGTGTAGTGTTTAAGTCCTTGGCGTAATCCTGGGTCAAAAGGGCGGTGTGCGATGACGCTGCGTCGTGATGAACTATCACTTTTTTTGTGTCCTAGCCATATAGTTTTCGAAGATGAATCTCCAAAAGCGGTTTTAAAACAAAGTCAATGAAGTACTTCACAGTTACCTTCACTTTTTTTGGAACTTTGATAAGTGGGAGGAGACCACGACCAGATAATGCACCAACCACCATGAACTTGTTGCAAAACTTTTCCGTGTGCGGGATGGCCAATCTTCTGGAATTATTTTCTTCTTTGGTTGTATAGTAAATTTTTCTCTGACCGTTGGTATCTTTAAAGAAAATAATTCTTCATCCAACAACACTAAAAAGTCACTTTTATCTTTTGTCAGGTAATTAACATAAAATTTTTTGCAGGTCAAACGACGATTTTTTTATGCTTCTCGAGTCAGCTGATGGACTCGGATTTTTCTTCGTTTTTGCCTCCACAAAATATTAATTGCCCGTCGCAAACTAGTCTCTGACACTTTAGTTAGACGTGCCACTGCTCTCTGGGGTGGTGGGTTGTCCTTAGAGGTCAATAGGTCAATTTTCTTAAGCACGGGCCGAATTAGCACTTTTCGGACTCGTGTTTGAGGCATGATGGTTGTCCTTTGGTACGAGCTTGTCGTTATTGACCTTCATTTTTAAGTCCCTTATGTATCTGGCCTTTCGAAACTCGTTGTCCTTGAGTTTTGAAGTGGTTAATTATGTATGTGTACGAAGAATTAAGTTTGGAAAGTGTTTTTATGGTACCCTCTTACTCTAAGGTCAATGGTAGGGTCATTTTTGAATCTAGAGAGCTAATTTTTTGCTCAGCCCTAGTCAACAATCACATGTCGCTATGCTCAAAATTTGGAACCGAAACTCCAACCCGTTTCGGAGCAATTCAAGAGTGACCGCGTTCACGTGTTACCGACTCATCCTGTAAAATCATAGCGACCCATTTTATGCTGCAAAGCTTATGCATACTTTTACACAGCTAATAATATGTTCACCATCTTACTTAACTAACGGCTAAATACGTACTATGTATATAATGCATATCAGGTACCATTTATGTATGGGGGAATTTATGCACAGCAAAAATTGGCTTTATATGCTATTCTCACCTCAAAGATCTGGCGGAAGTATGGGCTTGAGATGGCCAGGACCAGCTTGTGAGCTTTAATGAGTTTCCCCTCGCACGCAATGGTGACATCGGAGAGCTCGGAAGAAGAAGAAAGGAGTTTTGCGAAACCACAGGCGACATGGTCCTCGAAAGATCCCACTCCACTCCGATATTTGATGGGAACGGTGTACACGTGAGACTCAGGGATTGACTCGGAGGAGGAACCTCGGCGCAAGTTGAAGCCACTCCCACGAAGGGGCTCCCCTCCACGAATATCCCCACCGTCGAGGCCCGATGCCCGAGCGTCGATGCTGTCTCCACGTGTCGTCGTCGTCGGGATGATTACAGCAGAGTGACAATTTTTCTGACTTATTGGGCTTGTTGCTTCCGAGACTTCCTGGATGGATGTCGGTGAGGAAACTGTGATTACCTGATGAACACCACTGGAGATGGGGGAAGAAGACTCTGAGATATGTTCATCCGTGGGTGGGGGCTGAGGCACGGCTTGTGGGGCGTTATTTTCCTGCATCTTATAATTGATGTTAATCAATATCAGTTAGGTTCGCTTGAACTAGAAAGTCACTTTCACTCTCCAGGAGGAACACCTTTCACTCATGCCTATTATTCCGTTAGCAGATGAGTTTTATCATCACGAGTGATTCTGTGTATACTTCTGAAGTAACATACTGACCTTCAAAAATTAGTGCCGAAAGAAAAATATGTAAGAAAGGTAAATATATTGTATTACTCGAAAAATTGCACTAGTTAAATGTTTTCACTTTTATGTACGTCCGTCAAAAACTGTCACAAAGCAAGCAAATGTAATGTGTGGCATGGCCAAATTGTTCCATTTCAAAATCCATCCACGTTCTTGAGCAAATGTCAAAATACCGGTATTGCACCGGTCTCGAGCAGTTTCGGCACATTCCTTGCACTTGTCTCAAATTCCCGGCAGATTCACGCACCCAAGTTCCTCTTGAGGTAGGTTGTGAGTGAGTTGAGATGTTGCCCGTATCTTGGGAGAGGATAAAAAAGTACAAATTTTGAGAGAAGCAGAGCAGAGATTTGCCTAGTTGTTGATGCGAAGAGATCCTGACGGAAAATGGAATCAGCTTTGTGAATGAAACTCGAGAGACGAACTCGTTGTGAGCAACACACACTAATAACAGAGAGACCAACATTGCTTGTCTCATGCTTTTACCAACCAAATTTGCGTGCTGCCAGTTAGTTGTACGTACGTACGTTTGCAAAGCACGGAGCCAAACAAACCATACATGCATGCATACCAACATATACATCTCGATGCTGCTTTAATCGTAACAACAATACACGTAGCGTGTTTAACAAGTCGCAACTTTTCTCGTTTATTGTATAACCAAGTCTAAAACTCGGCTGGAGGAACAGAACAGGGCCAAGAAATGATTAATTTATTTGTACCCAACGCCATCCACTTAATTATCATTTAATTGTCTAGCGTTTTCAAAAACATTTCAAGCATATTTTCCGCAAAAAACTGAAAATAGAATAGTCATCGACCTTTTTAAGAAGCACAACTTTGCACGGGGATTTGATTCAATAAAGTTGCATGAAATCATAATTTAAGTCTACCTTCTGTCCTTAAAAAACCTGGATTCGTTACTAAAGAGCATTACGCATATGATAATATTGGCCTTCTCACCTTCCTCAACTGTTTGCAGGGAAATTACTATTATTGGGCATGAAGCATCTTTTATATCTGTGCAACGTGGAAGTAGAGCTCCTAAACATGATGAGCATGTAGGTGGTAGTTGCATAAACATGATCGTGTGCAAAATGAAACGAAACTTGCTGAATAATTACACGGACTTACATAACTGCATAACACAATGTCGAAAAGCCAGCATCACCCATCATCATCACTCGCAGCTTTATCTATGACAAAAAGTGTTACTAAATATATGTGTGTGTATGCATGTGTATGAGCAGAATGACGGGGCAGTACAGTGTGCAAATTAATCTTATATAATAGCACGTAGACACAGAGCTCAAGTGCTTAAATGGAACATCGTCACATCACCAGGTTTGGACCAAAATGTTCCTGTTGAAGTCTGTACAACCAAGTATTTATCTGTTACTTTTTTTGCTTTCTTTCGTTGGAATGTCCATTTGTACACGCAGGGTGGCTTTGGTGAGAGCATGACCTATTGTTTTCGGTGTCATTGATTCAACCTGCTATAATATTTGTGTTGGTCCTATGACACTACTTCAGACATGCAGCTACGTCAAACTTTATTGGATTGGGATTGGTTCGTTTAACACTTTCAATAAAAATGGATACGTCAATAAGTGTACGCCTCAAGCACGTGAGACACACTTGCACAAAGTTAGTTACTTAGGATTAGTGCTATAATTTAGTAACATGTATCGTTTCATATTTTATGTTGTTGTTGAGGTGTCGTTGACTATTCGTGTTGTCTGTCTGTCTGCATGGAACATAGTTCTTGAACCGTAACCATTCCGCCGTGGTGTTTGCATGACCGAATTATTTCTTGTTGTGAAAGTATGAAAATATTTGGTTCGAATCCTTTGTTGCGAATTTCATAGTCAAACCTCGTCCTGTTTTGACATTTGCGTGAAGATTGCTCGGCTATTTACGATTGTTTTATTTAAAAACATCGACTGCATTTTATGTTTCTTCGTCCTAGGACTATCTGCAAATTCTTGCGACTGTCTGGAAACTACATAACCGGGAATATGCTACTGAATAAGCAAATTGTTTTGAAAGTGTCTTGCTTGAACTTCTTATTGAACTCGCGATGACAAATATTACGGCATATGACCTGCCTACATTTGACCAACGTATTACGTAAAGTCTTGCATAAACGGTAGGGCCATAAATGTATCTGAATTTTTTGTCTGTGGTTCAGAATTCGTGAATGTTAATTAATATATCTCTAATAAATATGCTAAGGGAAGACATTAATAAAAGCATTACTTATGTAGTTACTACTTATTTTTCGTGCCAATTCTCATGAACGGCTTGTGGAGGGTTTATTTTTATCCCATCGTGCATAGCTACTATGTAGCAGATCCTACTTGAATTAATATCGATTTAGCTGAATATTCACTCATCTACCATCTGACAAACTTTTCTCTTTTCATATAGCATGATGTATACATTTACCTAGGTAGATGCACACAAGCTAACGATGGGTACTCCTGGGATTGAAATTTCACCACTGATGTAAACTCGCATATTCTCAAACGAATCAAAATATGAAAGAACACACAAAATGCCTTGATGGAAAGATTCTCCTTATGCTTTCCCTTTCCGGAAAAAATGTGAACGTGGTCCAGATCACGATCCTACCGACACCGATGACACTCCTTGAACACAAGAAGAAACGGATAATATTGGTCTGAACAAAACTGTGATGATATAGAAATACAAAAAAAAGATGCGTGATCTATCCAGTAGTTGGATTTAAAACATTTAAAATAACCCCATTTTAAAAATTTCTTTACTAGGAAAAGAACAATTTGTCTAAAAAATTCTCCCCTGTAGCAAATTCAATCCCAGGTAATTTACAAGCGTTCAAGAACACGGCGTTTCAAGTCGTTTTCAAGATTACGAAAATAGAACGGCATGTTCAAAACTAATCCTCTAAAATAATTCTATGCATATAAAATTCGGACTTATTTATATATAGAAAATCAAGTCTGCATTCGACTCATCACGTTCCATTAGGGTTCAGAGAACCACAAACTTGTCGGGTATAAGCCATGCCATTTATTTGCTGAGCTGCCTATTATTGATTGAGGAGAAAGTGAGCTGTGCGAAGGTATGGCGAGCATGGAATGAAAAGTCGTCCGAGTATAAAATCAATCCAACAGGTTCAGAAATGATTGTCTCCAATAAATCCACTCTGCCGTTCATAAAACAAGAATATGTGGGACGGGATGGCTCAACTTTTTGCGAAGAAAATACAAACCACGGGAAACTAAGTAAAGTTTTCGGTAGAATATTGTACAAAACTTGTACAGTCGTCCAACAACGTAACGCGTTACCTAACGTCTAGCCTCATCGTTTTCTTGTACAATTATTGTTTGAATATATATGCCGGTTATGGCAAACCCCTATAAATACACCCCATTATTACGGCTACCGTTTGTGTATGACCTTGGCATGGACTATCAATCTACAATTAAATATTTACCGGACTCGTGTGTCTAGGTGGGCGATTAAATCGATGACAGTTTTAATGTATACGGTCAATAACCATATGTAATTGTATCTGAATTTAGAGCTACGTGGGTTTCCGGTTGAATAACGGTTTTTGTGGCTTGGTTTGAAGCAAGATCACAAAGTTGCGTAAGTTGTTGTCCTCCTTTATATTCTAAACCACGGATACCTAATTCAACGTATGTATGAATAGGATTAATAAGTTAGCATCTTGACGTGCGTATGGACAAGCTCAATTGGAACGAGGACGTGCATAACTAGAATGCTGATTGATGACGAGATAAATAAAATTTGAAAACTACACGGACGCTGCCATACTTTATGCCTAGTTTGCTTTGCCTATTTAATCATCTCAGTTAGAAATGCAGTTAGTGAATAAAAGAAAGTTATTGAACTGAACTCAAGCCATACCTTCGAACCCCGTTTTCTCGCCTTTCACCCATTTCAACACAACAGAAAGTGAGAAGCATTCAATTTTATTGTCTGCATAGCATACCATCCTCTAGAAATTCATATTTTACTATACATAACAGCAATCTGTAGAAGAATTATATGGTATGTGAATTATGTATGAATTATACGTAGCTTTAAAAGTATCCCGAGTAATGCTCCAACATATGCTTAATTTTGACATAAGACTGAAAAGCTGGTTGCTACAGTCAAGAGCAAAACTTTACGACATATGGAAGAGACTTTTGGGACATGTTATTCAAATGGGGAATTAAAGGCCGTAAAGTTTTGCACCGCGTACCTTTCCGAATAATTTTTTTAACGCTGTGATATAATTTTTATTGAATAAAGCGTGCAAAAGTAGGGGGTGACGTAGTAAATTATTTTTGTCGCCGAATTTTTTTCAAGGAACTACAAGGAATTGAAAGAATTAATTTTGGAAGAGACTTTTGGGACAACACATTGTGCTTATGGCTGTCCCAAAAGTCTCTTCCAAAATTAATTCTTTCAATTCCTTGTAGTTCCTTGAAAAAAATTCGGCGACAAAAATAATTTACCACGTCACCCCCTACTTTTGCACGCTTTATTCAATAAAAATTATATCACAGCGTTAAAAAAATTATTCGGAAAGGTACGCGGTGCAAAACTTTACGGCCTTTAATTCCCCATTTGAATAACATGTCCCAAAAGTCTCTTCCATATGTCGTAAAGTTTTGCTCTTGACTGTACTACAAGGAGAGTTAAAAACCGGTGCATTATACACCGTGTATATACATATAAGAAATAAGGCTGGATTATTCCGCAACCTTATTAAATAAGTGAAACTAAACAATGTTGTATTACTGCTAAACTCAAGGATAGTTTAATGTGGTATGTGTAGCAGTACGGAGTGGTTCCATTTTTCCCCCTGCTGTAGTGATACCACAATAATGGGAGTTGAGTTAGATTACGAACTAAATTAACGACGAATATGTAACATGTTGAATATTGTTTGCATTTGACAAGAGATACAGATATGATTTTGCACACTGTACATATGGCTCGAAGGTCATGTTGTTCACATGTTCACTGTGTTGCAAATTCCTGATGCATCAATGGGACATGTTGCAAACGTAACTTGTCTGCATGTACCATTTCACACTCGGTTTAGTTAATTACCTCACTCAACTGTATGGTTATTGAGAGGACCACTTATTACATATGCGACTTTAGTACATGTGTGTATGATAAATCGTATCAGACTACAATTTAGTGACAAGGCAGCACAATTACAATTACACAAGTCCAAAGTCGTCACAAAATTCGGTGAAATATTTTCATAATATCGTCATTCGTATCATCTCGTCTCTGTTATCACCGGCTTGTATTACTGAGGATTGTGGATGATTGAAGTAATGACACTTACGAGTTAGCAGAACATAATCATCATGAGTAACCATATAGCTGTTTCAAGCAAACCCCACCAACAGTCACATGAGGCGAGTAGTGTAATGTCAAATGAAATTAGTTCTGGCGTAACAGGAAAGTTAACTTATTGTTTGTAATACTTACAATCTTTATGATTACCTGGAATGCAATTTGGATATTCGCACATTAGGCGTATGCTTATACAAAAATACTTTTACTGTGAGCACAAAATGTACTTGATAAGCAGCTACACCAACCAGTAGTACATGATTCGTATGTCATTTTACGATACGAGTCAAACCACTTGTTATGAACGAGTGTTCAATCAACCCGTTATAATCGGACAATCAGATCAGACTGCTTCTCTGAATACTTGTAAAAATTCCAATGTGTCACAGAATCCATCTTATAGCACTTTATTAGAGGGTCGTATGCAAAATGAGATTACAGCTTTATAACAAACTGACCTCTTACTTATTTTGTAAATCTGTGCACGCTGCATGCGCATGACTGACTATCGAGAAGCATATCGTCAAATAGAAAATATTAATAATAATTATAATTATTGGCAACTAGTGTGTAAATTTAAATCTGTCAAAACCCGAAGGCATGGGGATAGGATTAATGGTCCGTCACTAATGCAAGTTAACCGATAAGCACTCAAACTGTAGCGACATGTACAGAGACAAAGTGTGTATGTACGACAAAGGTAAAAAATAATTGGTCTCATTTTCTGATCCTGAGCCCACCCAAACAACACCAGTCTAGTTATTCTCATCATCATTTTCTCCTTCATCATCCTACACTAAACTGCAGTGCGAGATTAAATTGATGTGAAGTAGGATGCAAATTGTTTGGCAATTTTCTCTTATAGATCTCATTTGGTAAGAATAAATGCCACCTTTTGTTGACATTTCTAGCCTTGTCGAATTGGGAATATTTCCCAATTTTGATGTGAGTTGGAATTGCAAGTGATTATTCTCCATCTCTCTCTTTCTCCCTTTCTCTATTGTATTAGTTTCCGAGTTGTATTACTTTCCTGTTGAATGAAATTAATCAGCGTGCGTTATTTACGTATGTGAAAGAGAAAAGCCTTCCACTCTCGTTCCTAATATTCGGAGAATTAGGAAACATTTAGCACTGAAATAAATTGGATTCGATTGTTTGGTCTTCCTGATGTAATGGACGACTTACATGTCCCTTGAATATGATTGCAAAGGTTAATTGGTGACAATGGATGGCGACCGCTTTTTATTAATGAACGCTCTGGAAAAGTCTCAGTCGGGTTTTATCCGAAAGGGTGAAAATATCTGAACTACATCTCCGCATTTTTGGTGGGGTTGGAAAAGTAGCCGAATTAGTAGGAATAGAATGAAGTCTACCCTTGAAATGCCGTCACGCGGGCATCACTTGCACCACCCCCAGAGTCACCATTCTCACAAGCACCTTTTCAGTAGTCGGAAATCTAGTAGAAGTTCTGGTAATGTACCCTCAAGTGCTCGGAGAGAAGGAAATGTACTAAATCCACCACCAGAAACATCTTGGTGTCTCACAGCATGTTGGGCAAGATTTACAAGCATTTGTGGCATGTGGTGCAAAGGAAATCGAATTCAAGAACAAGAGCAACACCAACACAGAGAAGGGTCGGGTTCTAATCAAGGCAGTTTGGCAAGTGAAAGTTCTTATTTCAAAAGCAGGGTAAAAAATTAACAATTTAATCAGTACCGTTTTCCACTTTATGCAATTTATATTATTTACCGTGTAAATAAATTGAATGACAATGCGTTAATTAAATCAATCTTGACGAATAATTTAAACTAGGCTGGAGTCGGTGGATATTGCTCTGGTTCGAATAATCTAAGCAGAGGTCGAAAGCTGCAGAATATTCAGATGATCATTTTACCATTTATTCCTATTCTTGCTCTAATTTCGCAAAATGTAATGAGCCTAATTTCTGTGTTGAGCTATCAAAATGAAGTGGCCAGCATTGACAGACAGGTTAAATATTAGATAAATCATTGCAATACAAAACACGCATTTGTTTGTTCATCAAAATTCAATATGTATGATTTTTAATTATTAAAATTAAGGTTGAGACAACACTTACGTTCGGAAAACTTGTGACTGAGATTCAGAAAGAACGATCTGAGGTTTCTTTCTTTGTGTTCACTGACACAAATTACATGGGGTACAGTTGCACGTATTGAAACTATTTATTTATTTAAAGATAAGTTCATGTACCTATTTCAAATTTATAAATACAGATCCAACTTGTCCGAGAGATTTGCGCAGACAGATTCGGCTCTGGATAATATTTCAAATTGGCCAATGGTTCATGAACATTCACTAAATCGTATATTTGAGTCAAAAGAACGTTTCAAAATCAAATTGGAGGATTTTCGGTAAGCTAAGATATACATTTTGAAATGATTTATTTTTGGCATTCGATACATAATATACAATTCAATAGATTGCAAATCAATCCAAATGATAGCAACATTGCAGACGTGATGGAATATTACAACCAAATTAATGACTTGATGCTTGAATATTTAACCAAAGAAATTAAAGATACTAACTCTTCCGATTTGTGGAGGTGAGTTTATTATAATTTATTGTCATTTTAAGTATTTTATAATATTTTTTGTATTAAACGTAAATGTATGGTTTGACTTTACGCAGATTCCTCGTCTCGTATAAAAACCTTCTTCGGAGCATTGAGAACGTTGGAATATCAGTTGTTTTTGGCATCAATTATTTTGGAAGGGGAAAATTGACGATAAATAATCACATCAAGTACATCAGACGGGACACATTGGGAACAGAGTATCTAAATTCAAGCTTGGAATTTTCACTCGTAGCGAAGCACTATTACAATACTGAGGTGCACGGCCGCTTATCATCTTACGGAGATATTCACAAAACGTATGGTATATTTCGTGCTTTCGTTATCATTGATTAATGGTTGGACCAAAATGATTAATAAAATGACTAGTAAATAATTTAAATATGTGGGCATTGACTATGGTTTTTTTTCAAAGTAGGCGTACAGAAATTTTATTGAATGAAAAGAGAATGCCAAATATTGACGAAGCTGTTCGCTATTATGAATCCATGGCCGAGTACATCGAAGCGCTGAGAGGGTTGCAAACCGGCCTGAGATTTGCGATACGTAAAGCGGTGGAGGAGCGCCTCCAAGAAGCCGAGAGATCTGCAGCGGTGACGATTTGCCTGCTGATCGTTGTTCTGATTGTGTCCCCCACGATAATATTTCTGGTTCATAAATTAACCTCTACGATTCAGTTGTTTGCATGCAACCTGATGCTAAAAGCTGACGAGTTGAAGAAAGAAAAGAAGAAAAGCGACCGTCTTCTATTTCAAATGTTAGCTCAAAAAATTGGTGTTATATGCAATCATAGCTTGATGTAAAAATCTAATGTGATGATATAAATACACATGTATATGCACAATTATAGGCTACCACCTATGGTGGCACAGGAATTGCGCCAGAAACGGCAAGTACAGGTATTGACTTACTTATTTTAGTTTGAACCATTAGATTTGTTACTTTATCAAGGTTTACTTGACTTGATTTAACTTGACTTGACAGGCGCAGTGTTTCAACGACGTGTCGATTTATTTTAGTGATATTGTCGGATTTACCGAAATCGCTGCAGAGTCGACCCCGTTGGAAGTGGTCATGTTCTTAAACTCCATCTACAAATTGTTTGATGCTCGGATTGAACGCTACGACGTGTATAAAGTACGCAATGTTCAAAGTAGTTCTAAATTCAGTGAGCTGACCTCATCTGCAGCGATCATTTAATTTGTAGGTTGAGACAATAGGAGACAGCTATATGGTTTGAATATATTTAAATATATATGTTAAGTACGTAGATATATAGATTATTTCGAATTATTTTACATTGCGAAAAAAAGTAATGGGAAATAATAGGAGCTTAGAAATATTTAATTGATGTAGCAATCACTATAAGAATATGTAAATCGGTATATATTCATGCATACAGGTTGCGTCAGGGCTGCCAATTCCTAATGGTAAGATGCGATACTGTTTTTGAGGAAATTGCTTTGTTGGCTGCATATGTACATAACTGTCCATAAATCCGATTACAGGGGGACTGCACATTTCTGAAATTAGCACTATGGGTAAAGTAACAAAATACTTAAATGCCAATTTTTAGTCTGGTCACATTACAACAAAATTTATTGGTGAATATAATCAGCACTGGATTTGTTGGCTGGTGCAGTAACGTTCCAAATACCACATCGACCTGGGGAAAAGTTACAAATTAGAATTGGACTTCACACAGGGCCCGTTAGTGCTGGTAAACCGATTTTCACTGTATTTCACATGACATTGTTCAACATGCATAAACGGTTTTCAGGCGTGGTCGGAACCAAAATGCCAAGGTTTGCGCAAAATTTCCTTTTTATGAAACCCCCACAAATATGGTATAACAAAATCTAATTTTGCCATACGCCCAGTAATAAAAGTAGTAATACATATGTAGATAGCAGGCCGATTACTTTCACTAGTGCTTGTAGCTTGCATGAATGCATCTGAAATAAACTAACTGATTTATCATAAACAATTTGGTTTTAAGGTACTGCTTATTTGGAGGTCAGTAATCTACAGTAAAAGTTCTTCAAACAAGTTATTCTTGCATACATTAAAAAAAACTCTGAATATTCTCAACAGACACAGTCAATACTGCATCAAGGATGGAGTCCACTGGGGAACGTAAGCTCTATAGAAGGCAGTTAATTAATTACTAAGTTGACGAAGCACATTCCTTGCAGCTCTGAAAATTCATATGAGTATGGAAATGAAAATTGCACTTGACGCTGTTGGTGGATTTCGAGTTGAACATCGAGGATTAATTGAAGTGAAGGTATTCACAATTTTAGAATATTTTGTAATGAACACAGCAATGAATGCATAAGTAATTTAAGTACTAACTGGAAATTCTGGTGAAGGGGAAAGGAATGCTAGAAACTTATTGGCTTTGTGGCAAAGATGGAGTATTTACCAGATCTGTAGAACTTGACACTCCAGGATTCTTTGAAAATAATCATGAACCTGATGCATTGTGGATGATGGACGTGAATGACTTTGACATCCTGGACTGATCGTGCTTGCCCAAGGAGAGCAAATTAGAACTAATCTAAATAATTCTGACCAAGAAAGCCAGAAATACGTTCTCCTCTGTGTTTATACTTCGGAAATATTTAGACATATAAAAATCCGTTGCTTTATTCGAGGGATTGACTGAAGTGACTGAAGTAATTTACTCGGAAAATTTGTACATAATCTGTGTTTAGCTTTCACTAGAGGGTGTTGTTAATATTGGAAAACCCGTATTTGTTGCGCCGTACTTCTTGACGTTGGCTTTATCCGCCAGCTTTTCACGTCCTTCAACAGTATTTTTTTCTAAACAGTAAACATGTATTTTAGTATCGTTCTTGTGAATAATTTCCTCCTAGTCTTTACCTGATAATCGTTTGCCTAAGGTTACTTCATCAAGGAGTAGCACCAGCACTAAAGAAAGAACGGCAAGAGAACTGAGTCCATACGTGATAAAGTTTTTGTAATATGTTGGTGAGCCTTCACAAAATCTATGTAAAATGTACATTATCAATTAATCAAAATATCAATAAATTTGTGGAATAAATGTTAACCAGTCGAAAAACTACCCGTGGCCCAGTTGAACTACAAACACGACAAATCCTCCAAGTAGATTGTGAAAAAATGCTATCGAGCCGAAAACATATGCACCAGATTCCTATAAATTTGGAAGATTCATCTCAATTAATAAGAAATCGAGATGCTCGTGCACTTTCAATTGCATACCGTATTCTTGCCAATGAGATCAGATACAAAGCTCGTAGAAACTACGATTATCATGCCAGTTCCAGCTCCAAGGAATGTGGCCAATAGGAAAATATTTCCCGATCGTATTGCTTCTGGGCTGTCAAACCCCAGCCACGCGCACCCCACGAAAACAAAGCTCGCTCCAAGTATGATTGCAACTTTTTTAGTTGAATAGCAAAGAATAATCTTGACTAACAAGGAGGCCAAAAGGGCACTTAGTTGGCAAACGCCGGGAATTATTGCCAAATATTCCTGTACAAATTAAACGAACCCAGCAAAAAATACAAAATTATGGTATCAATTCATGTCAGTGCTAAAGTATTTATACATTTATTATACCTGAGGAGCGCGGATTCCCTCTTGCAAAAATAGAGGTATGAACGCTTGACTTAAATTCAGGAATAATCTGCTTAGCACAAGAAGAAGACCCACCTTTCCAGATTATTTAGAACCACATAAATGCAATTAAAATAACACCTCCAGAAAAATGAAATATTTGTGCCATATATTTGTGCCATTACTTGAAAATAATGCTTTTCACGAAACCAATCCCTCCACCTCATTGGGACAATTGTTATCGGAACAGTTTCACTACAGGCGACGTCACCTTCCTCTTCATGGACAACTTTACTTCTCAAGGGAGCACTGCTCGTCTGTGGCATTTCAATTGGTTTAGCCGATTTCTCTATCGTGGAAACGTGAAATATTCCATTGAAAACCACTCCAATCGCGACCAGAATCAAAGAAATGTTTCGAAAACGCCAAGCGTCACTCCCGTCAATGGTAACTGAATCGGGTGAATGTCTTGCACTAAACGCGGCCCAGGTTACGACGTACACTGACATGTCTGATGCCATATCGAAAATGTATCTGCAAAATAAAATGGACAGTCGCGTATGGACAATATATTTCAAAAGTTATGTAATTACAGAATAATATCATAATTAAATAAGTATGCACACTTGTAGGAACTGTGTACCTCAAAATAGTCATGTCATCTCTGTCTGTTGCATCGTTACTTAGTTCTGGGATCATGCTCAAATGCGACACTTGAGTCATTGCCCACCCAAACTTGAAAATAAGGACCAGAGGAATGTAGAAGACCAAAAGTGCTTCCGGACTTGCTCTGTCAAAACCAGGCAGAGCAATAAACACCAGCGGAAAAGCGAACATGGTAAGAACGGTTCCAACGAGATGAGTGGACTGAAAGAAGATTTCAAAAGTTACTAAACGTAAAAAAACTCATTTGCATGCATTTCATGATTTCATTAAGCATCCCACCCACTTTTCTGCGGCCGTATTTACCACACCCAGTGATTCGATCGCTCTCTAGTCCGGCTAGAGGAGTAGCTGCTGCTTCCACGACCTGACCCATCATTAAAATTACTCCTGCCGTACTTGCAGGAAGCTACATGTGTCATATGAAATACATTAAAAATTACTTGCCATTTGCATATATGTAGGTATTTGGACATTGTGCTTACCTTCAAAACAAATTGCAGGTACACAAGTATGTATGTAAACCACATAGTTCCACACAAATCGTTGTAAACATGGCCAACCCCATAAGATAATTTCTGCGCTGATTGCAATCGACCAGTGTCCATTGCTTGATTAAATATTTGTACTTTATATGAAGCAAACACTGCTAATTCGAAGTATTTATTAGAATTTAGTTAAAAGGGATCCATGTGAAAATAATAGATACTTATGAAACACGTTAAAACTAGCTTAAATATTTGTCCACCATACATTTCACATATGATACATTATGGAGGCATATCTGAAACAGCTCTTGTGTAGGAACACGCATTGTCTCCTATTTATAAGTTGGGAAGTGGATCAGAAGTCAGAACTGGAAGACCTTCAGGACGGATCAGCTATATCTTGTCACACGAGTCTCAATATGAAAAGACTTATGTAAGTAAGTACATGTGTACAAGCCATGAGGTGCAGAGTGCAGAGGTGGTTATTAGTGCTTAGAAATCTCAAAGATATCGAGAATATTCGGATTGCTAGTATATGAAATATGTATGTTCCGAATGAAAAGATGAAATAAATTAGAACTACTTAATATAAATAAAGTTGCACCACAAATAACTATGTTGTGTATAAATCAAGTGACTTATATTGCGAGTGCATAGATACATAAACATCATAATAATTGTCATTATGGCATTTATCAAAAATTTAACGTCTTATAAAAATTATATAGGACGATTAATAAAGTTTCATGTTGGCATTAACTGACTAGTCGAGCTGTGATCATCTGTGATGGCTTCATCATATGTTGGGGGAGGCAAACCTATTTATGAAATGCACTGCTCTCATTACATGTTTTCTACTTAACATTAAACAAGTTTCCAATAATTATCGTTTCAAGAACAACTCACCATCGTCGTCATTTTCAATTATGCTTGAGTATGCTGGGGCAGGTGGTCTTTCTACTATGAGCGCAGAAACAACAGTGCTTGGTAGCAACACTACTGAGAACTGTACTATTGCGTCTTTTGAACGATGGTTTGAACTGCGAACTTGAAACTACATACATAAATAATCATAAAATGTCACATTCTTGTCACTGGTTTTAAAATATCGTTTATGATTACCACTAACCTGTAAAATATGAGTAATTTCAAAGAAATCTTGGTGGTTTCTGTTTGTAACTGTTTCAGTGTTTGGAATTCGTAGGGAGCCGTTCCAAATTTGAGAATCTCCTGGCTGCAGTGTAGGGCCGACCATCCCCGCAACAATTTCTTTTGTACTCCAAAATGGACCTTTCTTGTATTTGAAGTTCTAAATACAAATAGTATAAACAAAATTAAAATCAGATCAGATAATTATATTGCAGATTAAATCATTTTGTAGGTTCTTCTTGTAGATTCGGTTATCCGGTTATTCTTCTTTGTAGGTTCTTCTTACCCGTATTAAATTTACTTTTATTGCGTCTAAACTCGATCGTAAATTGTTTCTCACAGTCGCCACAAACGTTATTTCTCCTCCAACAGGGAACACTCGTTTATGTAGGTCAGCACATAGTGTTATGCTGCCTTTCATACAACAGCCTAATAATTGTGAAATTCGCTTGTCTGCCTTGGATTGGACGGGATGACAAAATTCCTCAAAATCGTCGTGAAGATATTCTTCTGGGGCAGCCGTGATGTAAAATGGAGTTTGATAAATCTTATAATCGTCCCTGTATAAGTATTTGCATAAGTCGAATTATGCACAATAAATATGGATACGTATTATATATATTTCAATTTATATACCTCGGCCGTTTTAACGATGTCACAAATTCATAGTGAATTCGAGCACCTTTAACTTTTAAGGATGGAGGTAAATAACCAGAATCAGGAAGTGTAAAATTGAAGCTAAATTCATGCCTTCCTGGTTTTAACACTCTCCCTGCACAACACATTTAAAATAATTAATCAACATTATTACGACAATTCAAAGTCAATTACTTTTGTGTAAACTGTACATACAAGTATCTAAAAGGTTGATTGTGTGATCGAGCAAAACTTGCTCAGTAATTGTCCCTGTACTCCTTCCCATGAATTTTCGAGCCGTGGCAATGCACCCATGCTGCGAAACATCGATATTTGTAATGGCCAAAGTTGACGCCGAGGACATCGACGGTTGAGGTACAACAGGAGGATGTGAAGATGAGGATCTGGGAGGATCAGCTGTGACCTCGTGAGTGGTCCCTATTTCCAATTTTCCATAAAGTCGTATTGTCAAACCTGTGTTATCACGAGAGCTAAGTATTAAATTTTTCCGTTAAAATTCAAAGCTTAGATAAACTGATCTTCACCTTCCACTTTGTTCCAAATGTGTTTGTTAATGACCACTTTCCCAACAATTGTTTCGCTCGGAGTAAATGACCATACATTGTTCTCGAGCTCGATTGTCAGAACCATTTTAATCTCCCAGTTCCCAAACTTTAGACGACAGTGTCATTAATGAACAACTATGGCTATGAAATGAAATTAATCTTGGTCGCAAATTCGGACGAGGATGTGTTAACCCCTTAATTTGTTGCATCCTTGCAATTTGTTGCAACTATCACATCAATCACATGATATATTTCCTCTCCGTGAAGGTAAGTTCGATTTAAATTTACTTATAAAATGAACACATAAATAACTAGATTGAAAACTATACTAATTATTATTGTGTATTGCTTGCTACATGTTTTAGCGAGAAAGTAAATATTGACGTGAAATTGCAGCCGCTCGTGCAGTGCTCTATGTCGAGCGGAGCGTGATTCTTGTGTTTTGTGAGACTGTCTCATTTCACTTGTCTTAAAATGACACGTAGTATACGGTGAAAGTTGGTCAGATTTTACTCAAGATAACCATTTGAAATACCCCAATTATCGTAGAACTGTATCAGTGATACTCCATACCACGATTTAATTATTTCCACCATGCATATTTATTTCCGCTTTGTCGCATCACATGTATTTTAATTATCATTGACTCGACTCATGAATTTGAGAGTGGTCCGACCCAATGATAATTGGGCATTTACAATCTAATGAAATAGGACAGAAGAATCCGTCAGTCTTCATTGAGATCTAGTAAGGTTTAACAAGTAATTAGCTTTGCATATTATATTTCTGATGTTTGTATGTATATTGACTGACCTTTACGAAATAATCCAGTTGAACAACAGCTCTGCAGCCTAAATGTGACGGCGGAGTGTCGCCAGGAATGGGGATTGAAGACTTTAAACATGAAACCTTATTTCTGGTGAGATTTGCAGGGTCTTCTGCTTCTTGAGGTCGTATGGAAGTCCAGCAAAGTTTTTCTCCCGGTTTAATCACCGGTCCAATAATTGAACTTAACTGACCATACTCTTTCAGCACAGTGTCAAAGTTTCCACAGTCAAGCAGACGAAGTTCCTGTAATATGAAAAACTATCATGCACTTGACACAACCGCAGTCAATTATTTATACCGACGAACCCGTATCAGTTCAATTTTACAGTTTTTCAGCGTGGCCTCTGACGAATTCCAAATTTTGACTGTGTAATCAATTCCTTCGCCTGGAAGGAATTGATCCTTGCTCAGTTTTAACATAAGCCCAAACCTATGACCCTTCCTCCAATTGAAGCATGAGCAGCATCCAGCAGGTTTGGAACTGTGAATTTCCACAGCGCTACTGTCTCCAGCGTTGAGAAGTAAAACTCCATTTACGAAGAAGGTTGATCGGTGTGTAATGTCAAAGTCAAATTTTCTCCGAAGTTTAACAACGATTGAGTAATCCACAAGACCTCGGCTGACATGGAAGGATGATGGCAACTTTTCTGGAAGTTTGAATTCGAAGGCTAGATCAATAAGTTCATCAGGGGGTAGTATGGTTTCTAAATAAAGACAATCACAATGTAAAAATATTATGAGATGCTGCAAGTTTTAACCATATTTAATCTGCAGTTGTGCATATTACCAGTGTTGATGAGCACTAATTGTCTTTCACAAAAGTAAAATTCTTCCGGCTTATCAGGATTTGCAAAAGCAACTCGTTTTCCTTCAAGGCGTATAATAACTTCTATACATGCATAATTTAGTTCTTTTTTGAAATATAGACTTGCATAGTTAGTTAAAAATCTAGTGATGAAAGTAATAGTTCACCAGTCAAGTGTAGCCCATCTTGTCCGCTAGAAATTATGATAACTCTGCCCACGACAAGCCCACTTGGTTCATACGTTTTTGACGGATTGTCGAATTCTATCACAACTTTGGGCTCCATATAATCCAATTTGGTCACGCCATTGCACTCAGTCAGACTAACACAAAGGACAATGTTTTATTTTATTTCGTGTTAATTTATCAGAGTTCTGAAACCGTGTGTTCATTTGTGGTGTGACTCCAACAGTTGATATGCACATATGCAGAGTTGGTGTGTTCACTCTTCCGTGCATATCTCAAACCCTGTATAATTCAGGCGTCTGCTTTTTGCTTACATAACAAAGTTTGGACATTTTCCAAATTACACGACTATAGAGGCTTAAACGGATAGGAGGAACTATATTGGACTAAAAGCATAGTGAACATCTCATGCACCTAAAACGAGAAGGGAATTTAATCCAGTTTCATTTTGCCCCAAAAAATTGCATTCGTGTTTTCACTGAATTGTACATCAATTTCTCAATTTCCGTGCTTCAGTAAAAATTAATGATTCAAAACAAGTAACTCTTATTCTCGTAGTATAGCATTGCAGTTTTCACACTAATAAGATAGGTATGCTTATTAATGAGAGAGGAAACAGTAATGCACCACGATTAGGCGTTCATTCATATACATATACATATCATTTTTTTTATTTCATTAAAATGACAGGCACTTTAAACTGTCCATCGTTTTGTTTCTGGAGAAATACTGTCAATCCCCTTCGAAATAGCTAGTTCAGCTTTACATGAAATGATCCGTGGTTTCTTTGTGCAGATTTTCATACGCAGAACGAAAAAAATTGTCAATTTCAAATCCACTAGATGCATGTACAAAGTCTGCATACATACGTACATATGTCAAAGTCTTTCAAGAAACATAGGGCTGTCAACTTGTGAAGATTGCGTTCATTATGATAATGAGAGGACGAGGAAAAGAATAGCGAGGAAAGGAGCAGTAGCAGGTAAAAAGATTGTTGTATTTTTTACGTATCAGGCAAGCTATCTCTTTATTGTTGGGGAGAGATACCTGCTTTGTTGGCTGCTTCTTCTGTCCTCAACAACAACTGATCCTCCAAAAGCAGAATTGGTGATGATTCGAACACGGAGACCAGGCCTCATCCCACTTTCCCGACGAGTCCCACCCTCACTGCCACTGACAACGAGGCAAGTCAAACACCACCACTGCTTGCTCCCAGCCCTCAGTTCTCGTACCGTTGCGCTGTATTCACAAGCTCTCTTTCTCTTAAGAAGCGTCTCTCACCAAGTCTCAGCAAACATACAGAGCAATATCAGCATAATAATCACCATCGTCCATATCGCAAGGGACGACGACTCCCCAGTTCTGTCACCACTCTGGCATTTCCGATCTCTCGGAAGTGCAGGAAGTTATTATGTTGTTGTTATCAAGTTCACAGCTCTAGCAACCCATGCGTGGTGCATAATGTAACCAAACCCTTAATAGACACACACCAACAAAGGACAATCAATTTTGTCACGCTCACCACTGCGAGTGAAGCACATGGCGTAACCAGCCAGTAGCTGTCTGGTTATAGGTTCGAGATAAAGAAGTCATTTCTCTGTCCGGCTATTAATTATTAGAGAAAAGTGGAAAGCATCGTAATCCTTTGTGAACTAACTGAAACAAACTGAAAAGTACCGTTTGACAAAAAGAACAATTTCTGAAGAACTCGTACAGTGGTATTGTCACTTGAGAAAATACATTTTCTCTGTGAAAACTGATTTACGCGAGAGAAAATCGTCATGTTCAAGGAACGAGAACCCTTCTTCTCGCTCAGCAACAATCATCAGTGTGAAGACTTTGAAACTTATAACTTTCGAAATAAGAGTGATACGAATTACGGTACGGGCAATGGGGAAGATTGTCACCAGATGAGGAGGTATGTGCCAATGTCACTTCATTCCTCCTCCTGTTCAGGAGATGAGGACATGTCCATTTCACCCAGCAGCAGTTTTTGCGGTTTCGGTGTAAACTCCGCAGGCCGGTCCGAGTCTGTCTTTAACCCCGCAGCAGTGGGGGCAAGTAGCATGGAAAGGTGTGGGAGTGGTGGTGCGGGTGGAGGTCCTCAGGGGGTGCGCTGCTTCGGATGTGGTCACCCCATCGTGGCACGATACTACGTGTCCGCAATGAACTCTACTTGGCACAATGAATGGTTAGATTTTGAACTGATTTTTTCCCAATTTGTTTAATATTGATTGGTAAATATGATTTGTGTGCTCATCTTGATCTATTGTAATTTAGTTTAAAGTGCCACCTTTGCCATGCTGTATTAAGCGACGAACCCACATGTTTTGAAAAGGACCATAAAATATTATGCAAACAAGATTATCACAGGTAAATACATTTACCATTTATGTGCATGCATATGTATATCATTGTTTCAAGTACAAATCGACTTTTGCCCATTACACAAAAAAAACATACAAATCAGAGTACCAACCAAAGCTTGTGTGTTAGGGTAGTAAAAGCACAGAACTAATCTGAAACATAAATTTGAGATGTTAGGGGATTATTACTTTGAGTCCTAACTAATCCTAAGCCATAACATCAACAAAATTCTCACGCTTCTTCAGCTCTTGAAATTGAATTGTAGGAGAAAGTCCACAAAATCAAGTGTTATTATTGAAAATACATAGATGCACCACCACCCGTCGTGAAATGAGAACTCTTAATTCACCACAAACTAAAACTGACAAACATACGGCACACGCTTTCATTCGAGCCTTCTCAATTTACACTAAAATTTAAACCCTCTTGTACTACAAGTATTAATTCGATGGGAATCTATATATTTATGAGTACTTGTTGTGGGGCAGCTCCCTCAGCAATATCAGTACTTGTCTAATATGCCATGATGAAGGGTTCGATTCAATTATATGATGTGATCAGATTTAGATATGTACATATGTACATGCCCACAACCACGCAGAGTTGTACACAGTAATTCACATCCACCTTCGTCCCTTCCCACAACCCATGCACCCTTGACTCATGCCGTTAAAAACTTCACTCGTACACATGAATACAAATTTTCGAAATGTATGTTTTGTGTTTGATATTTTACGAGACGAAAATGATCTCAACGCACGTTTGGTGCAGTACGCCAAATGAAATCAATGCATTATGCACGTCCACCAACCCGACGTCTATGAGATGATAATGATGATGGCATATTGTTTTTTACAAATAAAATATCTGGAATAAAAGCGGTTGCCTTCCGTTGTGGAGAGTATACATGAACACGGAGGGGAGCCGTTCATTGAGCCTTTCGAGCTTTCCGAACCGAGTCGACTGTGTAGAAGCTGGTTGAGTCTAGAAACGCTAAACCCCGTGAAATCATGGTGCTCTCCATTCTATTTCTCGCCTGTCCATCACAATAACAAATAAATACCTGTTAATGCCTCCTCGCCAACGAGGAGGCTTTCACCAACAGGCCAAATCCATATGTATTTGTGCTGGAACACGGTGTATCATGTAAGCCCTTTACCACTCGGAGTCTCATTCATACAATTTTAGGAGTGCCTTCTTCTTTTGCACCACTCGACCGACTCTGATTTTATTTGGCGAGGAAGGGAGCGAGTGACTTATTGTGCTCTCTCAAACCTTCTGCATGCATCATAATCCAAATTCTGGAAAGAGGATTTGACAAGGCCGACGGTCTGACAGACGCCACAAACATTCTGGACCCAGGGGGCCTTTTTTACCGTCTACTTGGATTTACACGGGCTCTGATGAGATGAAGGCTCCCACGAGCTCCAGACTAATAATGCTCACTAAATACATGCGTGTAGTATTTACCTATGTATACATATATATCTTTACGTATATATGTACATATGTATACGACGAGTTGCAAGTTGGTCCTTACCACTTCTGACAGCACGGAACAATGGTTGTTAGCAAAGCACCATCTCTTCACCCGTCGTCCCATCATCACATCGTCAATTTTATTCCATTCGATTTTCCAGATCAAAATATAAATCCTCATTTGATAGAGTTGCACAAAGAACCGACACTTGACTTGGAATGATTTTGGTGGAAACTGCAATTAGAGTGTAATAGGCTTGTTGTAGATCATTTCTACCCCTGAAACTAAATACGCACGGATCCAATTCATTCATTTTTTTCAAACCCATTCGTCCATACGCTCATCTCGGTGTAGGCTGGAATACATACATTCAGGGAAATTGATGTTATACCTTCATCATCATTTAACACAAGACTCGTCACCACACAATGCACTGCCTGAGTTTTAAGGGGGCATTTATTTGATGACGGGATGATGATGATATGAAAGGAAATATTATTTCTAAAGGCACGCGACACTTTTGTTGTTAGATTTTGAGATTGTAATAGGAAACCAGAAAACGTGTCAATCGTGTTTCTATTGTTGTAATGAATTTTCCGTCATAACTTGAAATATAGAAAAACGTATGAACTTGTCATCTTAATATTCTCCTAGCAGATAAAATCAACCATTGTGGTTGGCTGCATGATAACCAAGTCCATGCGTAAATATCTTCATGTCTAAACAAATCATGCTCTATATAGGTTAATATTACACAGCTAATCGTCATCTGAGGAATGAGTTGCCTGGAACATGATAATTTTGAAATTCATTCATACAAGTATTATTAATATCACCTGTGCATTTAGACTGAGATAACATGTTGTACTACACAAAAGAGAGTCAGCAATTATGTGGTAAACCACCCACATCGTGTTTCTGCTTGGTAATAATGAGAGTACTTTTCATTAATTACATTAATAAACAGTCAAGCTCTTTTATGTAAATGTCGTCAGTATTTTCCGTGTTTTTCATCCCACTAATGAGAAGGAAGTGGTGAATCAACATCATACAAAGCAAAGCAAATCATGTTATGTTTATAAAAACGATAGCATACCACATCAAACCTTTTTGGGCTATGCTGTTCCACAATTTCAAAAAGTTCACATAGTTTTTTTTGTGTTTTTTGTAGTAAATGTTTCACATAAGTATCGTGACATAAGGAGGTGATGATAAAATCAGCGAGGAGTCGTCATCGCCCATCCTAAACTTGTACTAAATATTTTTTGAGTTTGTGCAGCGAGTTACCAAGCACGGCTCATTAAGTTAAACGCGAGGACCTTCTTCATATTTCACCAAACGCAAACCCACTTTGCATCACCCTGCTTCACAAATTCGTTCCAGGGCTGGATAGATAATTGAATCTGATTTGTTCACTGTGCTGCTAGACAAAATTATTTACGTTGGTTAACTAGGTGTATCATCTCATAACTCCACGTTGATTCATAAACATGGGTCATATAACGTTTAAAAAAACTAAAAATTTCATAATCATGCACATGCTCCACTTTTTTGAGGAGGGAAAAATTCACGGCATAATGAATACGTCGAAACGCTAAATTATTTGCTTGTGAAAATGACAAACGTCAAATCTACCCTGGTCAAATCTACCCTAAACTTATCGGTTCTTATCTTCATGATATGTTTTCAACAAAATTATTGCGGCAGATGTTGGGGTTACTGCTACATGCGACATATTTTTGTACTAATGTTGAACTGATGCCAAATTAGGTGCAGTCGAGGTTCATTTGACAGGTGAATTTTCCTTGTTTGTCTACCCTTATGTAGCCCAATTCAGTGAATAATGCAGGTACAAACCTGGCAAAGGGTTATAAATATATGTCGATATTTATTTATCCAGTTTGCACGAACGCCCATACCAAATGAACTGTGATGGGTTATACCTTTTGTAGCGGGGGTGCTGACAAGTCGTCGTCAGGAGTAGTGACTATGAAACTTTTTCGTATTTATGATTCTACCCCCTCTAATATGAAAATAAGCAACAAATTGAAATCAATCATCCAATTTGATTCTGTTTTCAGATTATACCACGAAACTTCCTCAAAATTCGCAAAGCGATGCGCTCGATGTACAAATTTAATCAATTCAAATGATCTCGTTATGAAAGTACGGGATTTTGTTTACCACGTTGACTGTTTTGTGTGCACAATTTGCCAGCGGACCTTCAATCGAGGTACTTAAATACTGATAAATGCTAAAACGCGACAGGTAATGATGTTATGTAAGACTGGGAATTATAGTCCAATCATTGGGTAATTTTTTGTATATAGGTGATCACTTTCGCATGCAAAATACTGATCTCAGGTAAGAATTTATTCGTGTTTTATAAGTAGCTCAACTACAGCCATTCTTAATATGAAAAGCTGTAAATGGATACATTATCTCATCCAGATCTGCTGATCTCTATTGTCGTCTTCATTATGATGTAATTGAAAATTGCAACATATCCGAAGAGTCAAACCCACCCCCTGAACCATATAACAGCACCAGTAAGTCAAATTCCAACACAAACAAACGTGGACGTCCTCCCAAAAAGAAATTATCGTCTGGAGTTCCCGACATTTTAAAAGAGTCAGCCTCATCAATGAGCTACTTTCACCCTGTGAAACCTCCGAGTAAGTAAAAAAAAATCATCTTGGACTAATTTGTGCATTTTACAAAAAAAATCATTCCGAGTTTGGAAGGAAGTAAATAAATGTTTGTACATAGTAAAATCAGTCCAGCGTAAAAGAAACGTCAAACGAAAGATTGCAGGCTCCACCTTTTCTCTGTTCCTTCCTTCTCTCCGCATATTCTTTACCAGCAGCTTTCTTGCGCCCAAAGAAAGAATATTCGTCTGACTTCTTCGTGCATTGGAAACTTTTGGAACATATATAACTTATCATCACCGGAAATGTTGAGTTAGCAAGTTTCACGCACAATGTAACATAGGCGGCGGTGTAACAGATCGCCATACGAATAAAACGCTGACAATCATTTAAGAAACCCAGCACATGAGCCTGTGTTAAAATTAGAACCGTTCATTCAATTTTAAGGAACGAAATTGTTTTTGCGTCCGACACTTTATTGCATGCTGCATGCATTGCATGATAGTACAATAAGTAGTGGATAACAATAACAACATCCGATTCCTTCCCTGCATGCATGCATCATGAACGAGGGCTGTTAGCATTGCTGTCACTGGAAAACAATTCTCACAAGTATTATGCGAGTTAGGGCAACAGGTTAAAAATTGGGCGATAAATTGTACGCAAAACTTGTTATTGAATGGTTTGGTTTTGAAAAAAATTGACTTTGACAGCATTTTCTCCCAGTTGTTGTACTTGTGTAATCTATTATGAAAAAAAGTAATTTTCGGAGGCTCAGTGATTGTTTAAGATTGAGTTATTTATGAGACTTTTAAATGTTAACACTCCTTTGAGTCTCTCTCTGTCTCTATTTTCTCTGAAGATTGGTAGCTGCCCTCATCTTGAGAGAAATTCTTGTTCTGTTATTATCAGATGTATTTCCTTCCAATTTCCGCCCAGGAATTCGTGGGCATTCATTAAGGAATGAGTTAAAGGACGAAAGCGGTTTACTGTACTCATGCCAAATTCCCCATTCCTTATTTCAGATCTAGGACTTTCCAATGTTGGGACTATGAGTGCAGAGTTTAATCAAATCATGGACTCTCCAATGAATGGTTTCAACATGTCTTCGATGTCTCATCGGGAACTACCTCCCGGAATTTCCCCCGTGGGAGTCGATGGGACTCCAAACCCGCATCAAAAGGGAAAACGGTAAGTATTTTCCGATTTAATCAATCATAATTGATAATTAATTGAGGATCCGTCATCTAATTAGTACTGATATCACCATCGTATTTGTATCTTTTATTCTAAGAATGCGCACCACCTTCAAGCATAACCAACTGCGAGTTATGAAGTCATATTTTGAGATGAACCCCAATCCCGACACGAAAGACCTCAAACAACTCTCCCAGAAGACTGGGCTATGCAAAAGGGTCCTTCAAGTTTGGTAGGTTGATACATACACACTTTGTTTATTTTATATTTTACAAATCTGATTACTTACTCAGCTACGTGATAATTATGCTAGGTTTCAAAATAGTAGAGCGAAAAGCAGGCGTGGGGTCACAGGGTCAGGTCAAGGTCATAGGCCTGAGTCAAGTTTGTCAGGTAGGTGGGTCAAGAGATATTGCTTGAACCTTATAACTAACTTATTAAATGCATAAAGTATGTTCGTATTTTGGGATTTCAGGCAACGGAGTACTTCAATTTGACGATTCTCAACAAGACTGGAGCCCATCTTCACCCTACCCTGGAAACTCTCAGCAACCAACGGAACTGAGCAATTCTGGCAGTCTACCATTGCCCCTCGTTCAGGGATGAGTATCATTGCTGAAATAAATGATCCCATTGAACCCATTTTTACCTAAGATTTTAAAACATGACATGTGAACACGATGACTTTGAAAAAGTTGGAAAAACTCTCGAATTGTTGTAAACAATGGAATGTTTAACTTGTGAATAAAAAAAACCATGTTTTTCTTTTAAATTTCGAACGGGGAAGAAAACATCTCAATCCACATATGTATATGTGTGTGTACACATTTATACACACATACACACATTTATGTCTATATTCTTAAATACCTGGTCTTTTGTGGACAGCGGGGAGTAATAAAATCGTAGTTTTGAGTAAATAATCACACAAAAGTTGCAATTTATTTAGTGGATCATAAAATGGGTTGGCCATTATCGCGTGGATGGATTACAAGAAATGGGTGGTGATTGGAAAACTGTTAAAGATGAGATAAACAGCCTAGATTTGAGGTTTAAGTGGATGTTAATAGCAGCCAAGGGTTTGTTTGCACTACGAGACAATTATTCTATTTGCTAATGTTTAAGGATAGCAAAACCACTAATTATTTGGAAAAACAATTATTTCAAACCTCGTAAAATCAGAGAGTTGTCAGTGAAGAAATGAAATTGAGATGTTATATAGCTCATAAATGTTGGAATTCAATTTCACGTCACTCTCTACTCGCATAAGGTAAGCCCATCCTCTGTAATACCTATTTCCTACTTGCAAACTTGACCAAGCAGGCTCGCCAACTAGCCACTTGGACTCATGACGAAACGGCATTCATGTTTAAAAAGTGTAAAAGAAGAACCATTTGATTGTTAGCCGTGACAGCCAAAGATTTCTGGAAAAGTTAAGAATAATTGCAAAACAATGCGGCTCACGACATAAATTTACATTATGCCATTTACTACTCACTCAGTCAGTACGTAGGCACAAATAGCTTTGTCCCTGCTGCTGCTGCGTTAACAATGAATTTCCTCTGATTGTATTGTCCGCTGCGTTGAGAACTCGGAAAATATGTGTTCATCTCGTAATGAGGTGCGTGACAGGCCGTTTGCTGCTACACAAAATTACAACCAGCGTCCGTCCATCATATCACTTGTTCAGAGGCACTGCGCCTAATAAGACAACAGCCAAGACTTTCTTTCGCCCATTATTGCGTTAGCTAAGAGAGTCGGTTATGTGCTACCTGCCCTTTGTTCTTCATGCCCCTCTTACACTTTGAGAACGAGGCCCCACCACCTCGCGTTGAAATGGTATTATTACCACGGAAGAAGAAGAATAAAGCACAGAGACACGCCGCTTCATTCTATTATTTGGAGACCTTAAACTACAATTGAGCTTAACACACATCCCAGACTGGCAGCAATCTCTTTCAACAGATATAGTTTTGGCTCAATTATCCAATTGACGGAGATGCAATATTTTATAGCAAAGACGGAATAAAAAGAAAATCGTGCCGCATGTTGATTCCTTAAATAATAAGTGGTCGAGGTAATAATACAGTCGAGGATGCGAAGGGATGGCAGATTGCGATGAAGTCTTTTCAATCAATGGTTTAATATTGAACCACAAAGTCAACAAGTTTTGCAATGCTGGATTTCGAGAAATTTCATAATGCCCCGTGAAAACTTTCATTTGATATTTCTGCTTAAAGGAATGACTTTGTATTTGGAGAGAGAATAAAAGAACGCGTATTTTTTGTACGAATTCCTCGCACTGCAAGACATTTCATTACACAGCAAACACAAACGAATGATTCACTCATTCAAATTCATACAAACGGTTGTTATTATAATATTACTTTGAGAATGGATGGCTGAGCGGACGTCGGGCTGGCGTCAAGTCCCCATTTTCGAATCATGAAAATCCTGAATCATATTTTTTACTAGTACTTTTTACTATTTATGTGTAGTATCCCTCTCACTCGCACGGCGAACGGAACAAACAAGACTTGTACTCAAAAAGCCATCCGTACATATTTAGCTACCACGGATCCGAAAGTTGGCCCAGAATTCACCAAGAAGGAAAAACGCATCATCCATCCTACAGCCAGGCAGAGAGAGACAGCAGAGATGAATCTTTCACTCTTGGCAGTAGTCGTGGTGTGGCAGTATAATTATATTATTACACCTTGTTGGGTTTGTAGAATTTTTTCTCTCTAAAAATAATCATCTGATTACAGACAGTAATAATAGCTCAACCCAACCTCAGCCTGCCATCATCATCATCATTGGTCGATCATCATCAGCAGCAGCATTGGAAAGGACATTTATTTCTGACATGCTAAACTGTCAATGCAATGAAGCAAGCGTTCACCTGACGCTAGCTCCGGCGTGGAGGAGACAGTCTGACTGACACTTTTCACACAAAAAGTGAAAAAGTCCCTTCAATTATTCCTCCCTTCAACAACTCGGGCCTAAAAAACACCTCTGCTCACTTATCCAGTTTGGCATAACTCATGCGTCCTTATATTTTCATCGTTCGATCCTCGAGTACAAAAGCCTGTAAATGCACACACGATTTGTTCTTGGTACAATATATGCCTATGTGCATACCTGGCAGAAAACATTTCCACAGCGATTTGTACCTGATTTTACTGTCCTTTGCTTGCCTGATTTTGTCTGTGTCAAACCTAAAGTTTATTTTAAAAAGTCAAAATATGGTTGGGAAAGAGTAAGGCCAGGTAAAACAGTAGAGTGTAAAGTAGTGTTACATTTTGAAGAGAACGAAAAAAAACTGGGAGAAACATGTTCAGATGTCAATCAATAAAGGGAAGAATGAACAGAGGTGGCCTTCTGTCACCCGTGGATGTGTTGTCGTCATAAGTGTTTTATGTAGATTCTGTTAAAACTTTCGAAACGCATGAGAAAAAGGATTTAACAAAACCATAACGCAGACTAATTTCTTGGTAACACAGTAAAAAATAAATTTCATTACTTCATCCCTCTTTTGTTTCATTTCCGAGAACTTTTGTCCTACTTTAAGCAGAGGGTACATATATCTAGTAAACATACCTATGTACGTACGTAGGGTTGTAAGGATGTGCATATTTAGTGACAGTCTTGCTCCTATCTATATCCCTCTAAATTTTCCCTTTTGACGATTGACGAAAGAAATTGTAGACATATAAGAAATTTTTGTTGGAGGGAAGCATCAATCACTTTTGCATGAAATCGCGTCCCCCATCCCAAATATGTCATGTATCAACAAGGCACACCCACGATCACGGAAAAGCAAAGAAATGTGTGCTCTAAATACATGTACACTCAGAAACATATACATAGCTTATCCGTTAAGGCTGGATTTTTTGTTCGAAATAGTTTCTCCGGAAAGGAGAATGTTTGGGATCACTGAGGGTGGAAACGACAAAACCAATGCATTCCAACAATCTGTCTTCAAAGAATTAATTAGGCCCACATGTGACTTTTAGAATTCTTTTTGTAGATGCTTCTGCCAACTCTAGCACTTATTTTTTCATCTATGCTTTTCTGCATTTCTGAGTCGTAGTCCCAGTTCCGTTAAAGGTTTTTGGTGTGGGAGTGAGGAATATCTCACTTGAAGACACTGAATGAAGAATTGCTCCCATTACTCAACAATTACTCAATGTAAATTCTACACTTATTGACTCAACTGATCTTGAGTGAGCTGATAATAAGTGTAGTAATACATAGAAAATTCATAATCGCATCACCGAAATATTTTATATTTGCAGCATATGTAGAATTCGGATTTGTCCAACTTCCTGGTAAAAAAATATGCAAGTGTTACGTTATTGGTCAAATTTATAAGCTCGGAGAAAATGCCACTTTTTTCTAGATTTTTTCAAACCCACTTGGCTTTCTTTGTTAGTGGTGGATAATTAAGTAAAGCGGATAGTCATTAGAGAATTTATGATGCATTAAAGGAGGGTTTAACTTCATAATTATTGATTGTCGAGGCTGAAAACCTCAACAGAGTGGAATTATTCATCGGACCTTGAACCAAAAGGAAAAGCCGATCTGGTTCATTACATGGGGAGAAGGCCCCTCTCTCAAGCACCGTTTAAGCTGGTCGTGTCTGTGTGACGTGTGAGACAACTTTCCGATGCTGCTTCTTCTTCTTTTTAAACCTGGCAAATCGCCACGGTCCAGTGATGTGGTTTACGAAAATGATTAAGTATCAAAATTCAAAGGCCACCTCAACCGTCTCAAGTTCCCTTTTCTCAAACATGAAAATGGGAAAACCCTCTTCTTGCTGGTTTTGCATTGAGAAACTCCGACCAAACCAGTGCATGTATGTAAAACCAAGATGAAAACGAGCATCAGACATGCATATCAGTGAGACATTGAAAATAAATAAGCAACCAAAACCAACGTTCCACTTCTGAGTCCCTTGGTTCTGAGGACGGCATTTCCTTTATTATTTGAGAGATGTTCATAAAACAACAAACATATGGTCACCCAAAGCTAAGTCAAACTTGGCCCGAAACCACATGTTTTTGTGGGTGACGGCCGTAAAGTATAATTAGTAACGTGATGACTTTATATTCCTGTCGGACAAGGGACAGCCACAAACCTTTGAGTGTGTGATCACCACATCTCCACAACCGGAATGGAATGGATACATCGGTTGGACTCCTACTCTACCCATAAAATGTGGGATCTATAATAATAATGATGATGAAGATACTCGTGAAAATTCCTAATAATCAAATCACAAAGTTCGTACCGTGGTGGCGTCAGTCAGGACATTATATTATTTTATTATCCGTGATGTATTTTATTTTTGTGGGGTGAAAGCAAACAACATTTTGGTTTCCGTTTAATAAAATTGTGGTCATTTTAGGAAAAAATGCCATAAACTACAAACATTTCGAATGAAAGTGAAATGAAAGCCTCTTCACACTTTATTAGTGGTATCTGCGTATGCAGCCCTTCGTGTAATTAAGTTTTGATTATGTCCCATTATTTCCCACATCAAAGGAGAGGCACCAGTATCTACATGGTAGCAGCAGAACCTTTCCAAGCACACCTAACCAGTTTCATTCATTCGACCCAGAACAAGAGTACTTACTCTGCTACAACGACGAGGATACAATAATCATAATGATAATAATGATGACGCCTCAAGCACATGGTGATGATAAACATTCATTGGACATGCTTATACGTATTTTTGTCCCGTGTAACGTTGCAACGTATCATTTGAATGTTG